TGGTCAATCAGTAATAAAGGTTAATAATATAATTGTTTTCCTCCTCATGGTCAATCAGTAATAAAGGTTAATAATATAATTGTTTTCCTCCTCATGGTCAATCAGTAATAAAGGTTAATAATATAATTGTTTTCCTCCTCATGGTCAATCAGTAATAAAGGTTAATAATATAATTGTTTTCCTCCTCATGGTCAATCAGTAATAAAGGTTAATAATATAATTGTTTTCCTCCTCATGGTCAATCAGTAATAAAGGTTAATAATATAATTGTTTTCCTCCTCATGGTCAATCAGTAATAAAGGTTAATAATATAATTGTTTTCCTCCTCATGGTCAATCAGTAATAAAGGTTTATAATATAATTGTTTCATAATGTTCCTTCTCTGAATTTGGATTCTTTGCTGGTACAAATAAAACGTAAATGATACTTTGGCAGAAATAAATTAATATCAGGTACACAATAATGGCTGGACGATAGGGTTAGTAGTAGCGTGATATCTACTTAACACATGATAGATTTTGACATCAAGTGTATTCTGACATATAGACATCCTTACAATCTACCGATCTGGCACTCCTTAACAGTTGCGGGCTGTTGATGTGGAATCGCTCAAAAATTTTATTTTCCTTTTTTTTCCAACTGAAGATAAACGTAATGTGAAACCATGAGGACACACCAAGCATAGCAGGTTTATAGTGGCTTGGCTTTCACTTCCACAAGGATCCTGTAAAATATTGCAGAGATTAATTAACTTTGTATACTGTTTTATTCTACTTGGCAAAAAAATATAAGTAATGTTTTCAGCTTTCCTGCCCGATACAGACTGTTTTCCTGTTGAATCAGTCAATTTCTCAGCTGTATTAAAAAAAAATAGAAAGAAAAATACCTGGTAACATATATTTACTGGTTTCAAACAAGAAATATCTCCAATTTTGTGATTTTTATATTTGTTAAAAATATTTGCTGAAATACAAGAACACTGTAGTAATAAAAAAGACAATTTACTTGCTGGCATAGATTTTGTAATGATGAAACCTGAAACACATCGGTATTTTAGCCCTGATCACATCACTTCTCGATTGGCATTTCAGGAACTCCCCAAATCAACAAAGAAAAATCAGTATAAATGATTTTTATTTGAAATTCTGAAACAAGGACCAGGCCATACTTTAGAGTATCCCAATCAGGAACTGAATTTTGAGAGACAGATATTGGTAAAAATATAACATGAAAAAGGTGGTGATATGGTATAGATAAAACACTGAGTGACATAGATACCTTCGTAACACATTCCACACTTCACCCACAAACCATATCTTTTTTGTTTTTGCTGTTGATTATGATCATTTTAAAATGTCTATTACAATTTTTTTTAAGTTTTGAAAATTGATAGGCAGATACAATAACTGACAGTTGGTAGTAATTCTAAGTGAAATTGTAGGTTGTTTAAGAACTCCTACAGATAGGCTGTTCACTTCCCATCTTACCAATCATCTGTCTTTTACTGTTTTGAAAATTTCGGTCAGATGATAAAATTTTCTGAAAAGTGATTTGTTGACACTGTAATAGTTTTTTGTACATTCTTTTTTACAAGCAAGATAATCTGTAATGTGCTCCCTCTAGATAGTGTCTGTTTAAATATTTACTCATGTTTGTATTGTTTTTTTTGTTATGTTGTCTGGTAATGATAGGAAGTCTTGTAGAAAACGACTGCGACATGAGGGCAAAAAACTAATTATATATATATGCCGGTAGTACTGATATTGATAAGTTGGTTTTGTTTTCTTTGTGTTTTGCATAAGAAAGTTTATTCTAAAAAAAGTTTTAGATAAGCTCTAATTTCACTCTGATATTCTGACATATTTGTAATTTTAACTTGCAAAAGATACAACTACAGATAATCTATCGCCTGTTTTAGTATGTCAGGTGTTTTTTTCATTAGCTCACAATGCCGAATTAGTGGATAGTTGAAATTGTGAAAGACATTGTGTTACAAAATGTGTTGTTTTTTCTCTCATTACAGAAGACTGTTGCTGTAAAAATCCTCAGAAACGATGCTCTGTCACAGCCAGGCGCCTTTGAGGATTTCGTCAAGGAAGTGAACGCCATGCACACGTTAGACCACCCCAACCTCATACGCCTGTATGGAATCTGTCTGTCCAGTCCTCTCATGATGGTAACTGACCTCTATTTCACGCAAATTAGACAGGGATACCCACACTTCCGTCTTACCCTATTGTAAAGATTTCCTGTTATATCAATAGCATAATGTCAGGTCAACAATGCATTGACATCAATTGACATCAGGTCAACAATAGCCGATCACGAAAGATAACTGATCTGCTGAATTATTATGCAGTCAACATTTGCATTTCATGAAATTACCACTTGTATTTGATGTGGAAAAAAAATCATTCTGAAATCTAGGAGTACGATAGATAATCCCAACCCTCGGGGTAAGATTCTCAAGGTCCTGGCCCTTAGCATAGCCTGGGGTTAGACACTTAATAATCTTACCCTTTGGGTTGGGTTCTTTCTGTCTGACCCTTCCCAAACCCCTGGTAGGGGAAGATTATATCAACCTATCACTGGTTGTTTCCTGTAGATGAAAGCACAGTATTTCTTTTATCATTTGGTTGATTCAATTACCTTAATTGGCAGCTCGTTTTATCATATCTACCCAATAGTTGATCTCTTGATTACCCTCGAAATGACAGCCTCTTTCATCATATATTCCCCTTTTCCCCTATTATCCTCGGATAACTGGCAACATATGTTGCAGAGCCGGTCAAACAAAACATATGTTGTCTGAAAACCCAGTTAACAACTGGTTGTTTTACCTTTCTAACAACTATTTATTACACAAAAAAACTATTTAACTATCACTGCTGTTAAATATAAAAATAGGTAAATATGATCGAATTATTTCTAGAAATCAACAAAATATTTCCTAATGTGATCATGATGGCAAAGCTAAGTCTTCTTCCATCTGTATCTTTCGTAGCCTTGTGTCGTAAGTTTGGTTATTGGCTGTTGATATTCTGAGCAAACTTCTTCAATACTTTAATCAGCTTTGATTTGTTAACACCCTAGGTGGGAGAAGCAAGGAAGCAGTTATACCTCAGACAACACTAAGTTATCTTCCCTAGTTTACAAAGCTATCTCTCCTAGAGGAAACTAAGTTATTTCCCTTACCTAACTTAATTGTCTCCCCTACTTCTCCAATTTAACTCACCAAAAATCCTAAGTTAGTCTTGCTTTTCCCAGACTCTTGCTCTTGAGACTTGCCGTGTGAAGGTCTGGTCAGATTCCTATTTCATATTTGTGATTTCAAATAGAGGCTTACCAAAAATCGGTACCATTTATCATTGGCTGATAGGGACATACCCACAAAATCTGGCTGAAAAGGAGTTTGAAGAAGTGGTACAAACATTCTACTGATTTTTTTTTATTTTTAGCTCACCTGGCACGAAGTGCCAAGTGAGCTTATGACGTGGCGCGGCGTCCGTCCTCGTCCGTCAACTTTTCCTTTAAACAACTTCTTCTGGAGAACGGACAGGCCTAGAGTCATGATATTTGGCTGAAAGCTTCGTTGGTAGGAGCCCTACAAAGTTTGAGCACGAAAATGAACTTGACCTGTTTTCAAGGTCACAGGGGTGAAATATGTCAAAAACTTCAAACGACTTCTTCTGAAGAACTGAAAGGTATAGAATCTTTATATTTGGCTGGTGGCTTCCTGGGGTAGAGCCCAACAAAGTTTGAGAATGAAAATAAGTTTGACTTACTTTCAAGGTCACAGGGGTCAAATATGTCAAAAACTTCAAACGATTTCTTCTGAAGAATTAAAAGGCATAAAATTATAATATATAATATAGAAGCTTTAAGGAATAGAGCTAACCAATTGGAAAAGGAAAATGACATTGACCTACTTACAAGGTCACAGGGAAAAATATGTCGAGCAACTTCTGAAGAAGAATCAAAAAGCATAGAATCTTATAATAATATTTTGCTCGTAGTTTTAACAGATGGAGCCAACAAAGTTTGTGAGGGAAATATTTTTAGTGCAATATAATATTTAATGAGAATATTTTGCTATGACTGCTTAAATATTCATGTGGGCGATACAGGCCCTCTTGGGCCTCTTGTTTTTAACTGATAGAGCAACCGTTCGCTACATGGTATACTGAAAGATATCACTATGTACAAAAAGACTTCCTAGCCCTATTATCGACATGATACGAGAAGACAACTATTTCATGAGAGTTGCTATTTTTACCACCCTATGCTAATCACAAAATGAAAAAGAATTTGTCTAGACTCTTGCATGGCAAGACTCGACAGCGAAAGCCTAGAAAAAGCGAGGCTTATCCTAAATTATCTCCCCTATTGTAACAAGTTGACTCCCATAATATCCTTAGTTATCTCCCCTAGTTTACCTAGATATCTCCCGTAATTTCCCCTACTGTACTAAGTTATCACCTCCCTTACTTTAGTAAGTTTCCCCTAATACCTAGAAAATATCTAATAATATATACACACCTATTTCCGACTTAGTGACCACAGCTGTACTGATTTATCTCCCCTAGGTGACAGAGTTGGCTCCAGGGGGTTCTCTGTTGGACAAGTTGCGTAAGGAGCAGGAAAAACTGTTGATCAGTACTCTGTGCGAGTATACCATTCAGATTGCCACAGGCATGAGTTATTTGGAGTCAAAGAGGTTCATACATCGTGACCTTGCCTGTAGGAATGTGCTTCTGGCAGTAGAAGACAAGGTATTGTGATATTTCTTTTTCTGAGAAATAAAACCCAATGTAACGGTATCATTTCAGATATCATGGCATAAAAATTGCCAAAATATTTTTGCCATCCCACAACTTTGCCCTCAGGACTTTTTTTTTAAAACAAATTTCTGCAGTATTGTATTGAACACACAACTTGAGCGCAGACCTTAAAATTTAAGAGAGTTTATCAGCAACACACTTTGGTGCTGTAAATTAAATTGGTAGTGTATCTTGTTGGCAGCTGGAAAATTCAACAGTTTTGTTAAAATGCTAGAAATGATTTTATGATACAAACTGACGATAAACATAATGCGATGTATTACAACTTCCTTACCTATATCAATGGTTTGCACATCACTGATCTTTTCAGATAAAGATTGGAGATTTCGGATTGATGAGAGCTCTCCCAAGCCAAGAGGACCATTATGTCATGTCTGAGCAGAAAAAAGTTCCATTTGCCTGGTAAAATACAAAGACCATTTAATGAATATAACGTGTTAAATGGGCATTTATCTTAACAGGAGTGTCAACTATCCTTTTCACCTGATCTGTTCATGTGATCTATTTGTCTAAAACTTCCTTTTCACCTGATCTGTTCATGTGATCTATTTGTCTAAAACTTCCTTTTCACCTGATCTGTTCATGTGATCTATTTGTCTAAAACTTACTTTTCACCTGATCTGTTCATGTGATCTATTTGTCTAAAACTTACTGATAATTTGTGTTGAAGGAATATGGACTTTTGAAAGTTAATTGTGAATGATACTTTCAATGTTTCCGTTTAAATAAAACACTTTTATGTGAAGCCTAATCGACCTGCAAATGTGTGAAGAAGGAGCACTGATTGGTTCAGTTAAACTTTTGATTACATTTTAGAAGTATTTTTAATTTACGATCCAAAGTTACATCTTAGTTGAAATTCAATGCTGAATGTAAAGTTGTTGTTTGTTTTTGTCCCCTTATTTTCTTTTTCTTAAATGGCTGATTTAAATAACAGGATAAGCTTGCCACATGTCATTATTGCAAAAACAGTTACAGCATTAATTGCCAAACAAATTGGGAGAAGATGTTTACACATGTAGTTACCTTTTCACACAGGTATCGATAAAGTTTGAATATTATATTTCAAAAAGAACAATGTAGTTAGGCTAAACTTGTCGAACCATTCAAACTTTACTGTACAGTAAAGATTCCAAGGTACTACTAATGGCATCAAAAATAAAATGATTTAATACACAGTTACTTCCCTTCACAGATTCTTGTTCCTTGTTCTTCCTGTAGGTGTGCACCAGAGAGTTTGAAATCTCGCCAGTTCTCCCATGCTAGTGACACCTGGATGTTTGGAGTGACTCTCTGGGAGATGTTTACCTATGGTCAGGAGCCGTGGATGGGTTATAACGGCTCACAGGTGAGTACAATTCAATCCCAGGTTTTATTTTTCAGATTTTTATTACAGTTTTTTCACAGATTGAGATATCAGAACATGTGACAATATCCAAGATCTGTATTTCTACAGGACAGACATCATCATTAATGTTTAAGCTTTTTCTCAGTATGCTTAGTCATTTTGATACAAAACTATGGTAAAAGCCTTCCAAAGGTTTCAGGAAATAGGATAATTTCAACATACCGGGTATTATTATTATTATTAATTATTTTTATTTTTTTAAATTTTTAACTATTAAAAATAAGGAAATGGTAAAATGATTTCGACACTGTAAGTCCTAACTAACTCATTGATAACTGTCTGATGGATTAATGTTTATTTTTGCCGTTTCAGATTTTACATAAGATCGATGTTGAAGATGAGAGACTTCCCAAACCTGAACATTCCCCAACCGACATTTACCAACTCATCCTGCAGTGCTGGTCCTATCAGGCGGAGAGACGACCCACATTTGTGGCTCTCAAAGATTTCCTGACCGAGGTACTACTGTATAAAATGTATAGACTATTATACATGTGTGATGAACACAGAGAAATCTCATTCTGAAGGAATGATCTCCTGGTCTAGAACTATGCTTCGTTGACTCCTTGACCTCAAAAATCTCATTTCTCAGTTTAAGATTTTTCTGTCTACATCAGCAGGGTTTTCTGAGGATCTTGGGCAAGTTGTTGCAAAGTGATGGTGACATTGTTTTCATTGTTGAATGGTATGACTGATGTACCTTAAAATTTATACTCTAACTTATCTCTTCTGTGTACAGGTGAGACCCCCTGATATGAAGGTCACTCAAGCTTTCTGTGAGGTGGGTAAACTGGAGATTGAAGAAGGAGACTATGTGACAGTCATTGATGGCAGGTAAGTAATTATTTAAGTATTTATTTGTTTGTTTGTTTGTATGGGTTCAACATCCTTGTGACAGCTAAGGTCATTTAAAGAAAGGTAAGGGGGGGATAACGCTGAAGAGAAAGAGTAGACAGATTCCACTTGTTATAATACATCTAGAGGAAGCAGATTGATTTTGGTTTCCTCAGTGCCCCTTAAGACACAGAATAAAACACTAGATCTGCAGATCTAGAGATAAGTCGCCTGTTCCAATGATGTGCAGTGGGATACACGATTCCTATTCTTTACCCAAACCTGCTGGGTTGTTTAAATAAATATTGTTCAGAAAATTAGAGTTAAGGTTGTATGCTACCTTATACATTCCACCTGTGATTTTTGTAAGAGTTAATATTGTATGCTATTGCTTCCCTAGAAATTATACCTGTGATATGTATAAGATTTATCTCCCTTAGATATTTCAAGTTTAAATTCAGATAGTTCAGAAACACCTTAGCATTGTAATTCACATTGAAAATTGCCATTATAAATCTGTTAAATGTGTTATACGAGTCCAAGGAAACTTGAAATGTTACAGAGAACAAGCAAGTCTATCTACTGAAAAGTTTTTAAATTCCACTAACTGTATATGGTGAGTTGTAAATAAACTATAAGATTGCACAAAAATATGCTGATAAGTAATTCACAAACAGGATTTTATATATGGATTTTTTTATCATGAAGTTTTCTTGAAAATAGAAAGTATCCCTTTTCTTCTTTTTGCAGACCAGACTGTTACTGGTGGAGGGGCCAGAACAAGAGGACCAACAATATAGGAACATTCCCGCGCCAGTGTGTGGACCCTCAGAGACGTCTCGCTAGTATGTCATTGTAGCTGTGGTTTAAATGATGTGTTACATCTCATTCTGTTCTAAGAGTTAAACTGATGACCACTAGGCCTTCCCCAAACTTCTGATTATGAATTAGATCATGTGAAGATGCAGATAATAGAATATACTCTACTGGGATAGAATCAAGCCTTTTCCTATTGACCTCAAAACAAGTCAGCAACTGTGTTAACTGTAGCAAAGATTAACCCTTGGAAGTATAACAAATGCAGATACTTATGCTAATTTTTGGCTGAATTATCATTAATTTCTACCAAATGGTCAGTGGGATGCTATAGCAGTTGGCTCAAACATTTGATGGTCCTGTCACTTCTGTAAAAGGCGTAAACTTGTAAGATCCTTTGATGGTTCAACCATTCAAAAGTAGTGATATACATATCATGTATAGATATCCAGCATTTATTTAACTATAAAACAACAGAAAGATTCTGGAAGGAGAAAGACTGTCTGTAAACTTCATTTGAAAGTGTCTTCCAATATATTGGCCAGATATGCCGAATACATCTTAATGATGACCTTTTAAAACCTTATGTCAATAACTAGACTGACAATATAGTGATTGTGTTTCAGGTAACGATATCAGCAAGCCACTGAAAAACAGCTTTATACATACTGGCCATGGTGACCCGGGAGGCAAGAACTGGGGGGACCCAGGCAAGATTGATGAGTATGTATGGCTATGTATATCAAAATTAACTGTTAAACCTGTCATGTTCGACATCACGAGCCACTAAATGATATACCTGGATGAGGTACACACAGAAACACAGATACACAGGTTGTATTCTGACTGTAGGACTTACAGAAAATCCTCTGCTGTCAGCTCAATACGATTTGAACAAATTCTGACAAGAGCATTGACATTTGAATAACATTAATCATTAATAGTTGAGATGAAAAAGTAAATTATACATAAATTCCAAATTAGAGTAATTTGTGTTCACAACATTAATTTGATAATTAATCATCAGAAAGTATATTCAGTTCATATATTTAAATGCGTATGGATAATAAAATTGGTTCTCTATAATTATAGAGTATCGGTTGGTTTCTCCAGTGATGGTCTAGGCAAGACTTGAAAGATTTGTGGTTCTTGATAATATCATCTCTGGTGACAGATGTCAACAGTTTTGTGACAAAATGATTTCTTTCTCATGCTTAGGCGCGTTCTATCCTTGAATAGTTTATACTCATGACCCCTTGTAACAGCTTTTGTGACATGAACTTGGACACTTCAGGATTATATTTGCCTGTCATTATTATATAAAGGTCCACCATGTCCCCCCTGACACGTCTGTAAGCCAATGTTAGGAGCTGCAATACCTCAAGTCTCTCTGGGTAGGACGGGTCTGTCATACCCGGTATCAATTTAGTGGCTCTTCTCTGGACATTTTCAACGGCTTCTATATGTTTTATCAGGTGCGGGCTCCAAACTTGGTTGTCATATTCAAGATGAGGTCTTACAAGTTCTTTGTACAGAGTTTTGAATGTGTTATGGTCCATACTAGGTTATGTCTCTGTAAATAAGGGTTTGAAAAAAATAAACAAGAATTTTGGGTATGTAAAATAATTCAAGATGTAACAGGATGTCCTTAATTCATGATCAGCTGATGTTGGTAAAGAAAGGTTTCTTACTGTATGACACCACATGATCAGCTGATGTTGGTAAAGAAAGGTTTCGTACGGTATGACACCACATGTATAAAATGTTCCCATTGAATGGAAAATATTTTAAGTTATGATCTGTGGTGTTTCCTGTGACGGGATGCAACATTCAAATTCAAATTAGTTTATTATAGTGTCACATGTAAAAGGTACAAGTATTACAATCTCTAAAATATGTCTACTCACCCACCCTTACATGCAGTCTATATTAGACTTACGAAACACTCACTCTTCCCCTTTCATTCTCGACTGTAAAAGTATAACATATATGTACATACTTATGAATTAAAAAATTTGCCAATATAAAACTATAAAAATAATCGACATTAAAAGACACATTACTGTTTAATTATAGATCAAGTTGCGACGTCGTTTGATAATATTAACACAGGTTTTGGCACAGGACCTCGCCAAGTAAGGATTGCTTAGAATTACAACTAACTTTTCATCTTTACTCATATTGTAAAAATCACTTGTGATTTTACTAGCCTCCTGCAATAGACCCGATCGGAGATCATCATACAAGTTACATTCTATTAAAACATGACTCTCTGTTTCTACCAAGCTTTTGCCAATGTACCTAAGAAGTCCATCGAGCTATGTACATGGTAATATTTTAGGGAGAGGACTTACCTTGTGGTATATAGGCTTTAAGCCTCCATGTTGTCCAATCTTTTGGACATTGTAGTGTTCTTTTGTCAATTAATTTGGTTAATATTGAAAAAATGGTAATTTTTCACCCTTTCTCAAACAAGCCAGCAGGGTGTAGGCCTAGGCTTACTTTGTATATTTTCTATAACAAGGTGTAGACTTTTTTGGTGATATTTCTGTGACAGATTATGTATACAAAAGAATTATGGAATATAATTTTGTAACTTCTTTGTAACAGAGTATATCTGAGAAACCCTATGGAGCCTCCAGACCTGAATGAGGTTGTCCACGATGTGCGTCCAACACAGCTTCCTAGCCGCAGCAAAAGTACTGTCATTTTGTTTTTCTCTGCTTAGTGGAAATTGAGTTCCTGAAGAAGCAGGGATTTTACTACATGTATTTCAAAGAAACCAAATCTGATCTACTGCATTCATTACATTACTTGTCATTGCTCTAAACAATCTTTTTGTATTAACAGGACATTTCAGCCTTGATAGATTAACAAATAAATAACTTTTGCTTTAATTCTTATCAAAGTAAAACAACAAAACTAAGCAATGAGTAATTAAAAGAAGGAGGTAGAACTTACATAAAATCACTTATTTCCATGAAAATACAAACCCCAATAAATGAACCTCTTCCTTTAAATACTTGATTTACTAACATGTAAATATTGATTTCAATTTTACAGGACCATTTACCAACCAGTTCAAGATGTTCAATTATAACAAGCTGGTCAATGAGGAGACAGGCAGTGCCTTCAAACCGACAGCTGTAGGCAAGGCCACGGCCATAGTAACGGCCACCGCCAGCAATCCAACCACACCTGCTGCCCACGGAAACACATATCCCAGGATATCTAAAAGTGTTCCGACACCAGACGACAAACCATTAATTGATTTGAGTGATGAATTGGAGGTTACCGATTCACAATTGGGGATGAAACAGTCGGCACCAAGTACACTATGTTTGTTTGATTCCCTTCTCAACAATAGCGCCTCACAGTATGGGAATATTGAACTTCAGAAACCGTTACTACACGATGGAACAACACCGTCAGACCCATTCGAGGTGCATAATTCATTAAAAGTGATATTTCCATCAGGTGTACAGAACTCGTCCGGCAATGTAAAGGGTACTCAGAGTGTTAACACTTCCTTGAAGGGACCTCACAGCCTTCCAGGCTCGTTGAAGCATAATCCTTCTCGACCAGCTAGACATCCCATTGTATATAGTCGAACACATTCAACGGAGGAAAAAGTGAATAACACAAAAAAAGAGGGACAGACACCTGGGGCACCTCCGCCACCTCCAAGGGAGAATAACTCTGGATACGATACGCAACCAAATACAGTGAAATACAGCTCACAAAATGAAAGGTGTAACACTGCTCCTTCGGCTGAGAACAATGATAGGACAAATGTGCAATCCAACAGTGAATTTTCGGAAGGTAAGGTGAAAATTTTAAAGTCACCTTGCCATAGTGCTTCAGTATTATCACAGGGTCAGAATGTTTCCACGGAAACCAAACAAATGGGTCAATTTGAAAAAGGAAGTGTGGGTGAATGTGAAAAAGAAAGAAGGAGAAACTCGCAGAAGACAGATCGTGCATTTGATTGGTTAAAAGATGCCATAAGTAACTTCTCAGTAGCGTCATCTGACAAACAATATGTGGGGGTGCCCCCTATGTACGATGACGTTCCAGTGGAAGAAGAACAGTACAATGTAGTGAAACCAAAACCATGTTTCGCCGGAATGGTTTCCAACACATTCACCCAGAGCTCTGCACCAAGGTATGATGAGGTTCCGACTGAAATAGACATCTCTGACATTAAACCACGGGAGCACTATGCTCCACTGAGTACATTCTCAGATACCATGAGTTGGGATTCATTTGACTCTGACTTTGACGATGACCCTGTGACTGGTCGTCTCGCTGCCTCAGCTCCAGTGGATGTGATCAAGACACAGCCCAAACAAGCTGGTCAGGGGGAAGATGCTCCCCCTCCCCTACCCCCGAGGGATTACCTGTCCAGTAGCCTGGACACAGGGAAGGGGAACTATTGTACTAATAAAGACAAACCTAAGCCAAGGATATTTCCCATGGTGCAGGATGGGAAACAGCTGAGCCATACTCATTATTTTCTTATCCCATCGCGAGATGAAAAGAAAGACAATTATTCCCCGAACACGGCTGAAGTGAAACCATTCATGGTTGACGGATGTCATGTGGATAGTTCAGTGCCCTTTAATAGGTCTTCATCACGTCATGACTATCAAAATCTCACGGAGGTTGAGATAAGTGCTAAACGCCATTCAACTGCAAGTGATGATTTATCCTGGACAGGCGTGACAAGCATGAAATCAGCCAACCAAGACACAGATTCTCGTAAATTTTCCCCGAAGAGTAATAAAGTCGGGAATTATCCAGGTCCCAAACGTTCTCAGCCACGCTCTATGCCCTGCCCGAGTTACAATACATCGGTGGATCCATGCATGATGTCCTCCTCACCCCGTGAAAAAGTTTTCCATGTGATGAACAGTGTCCTTGGTGTGACAGACGACGAGTGCCATACGGCCCTGTGTCATTGCCACTGGGATATCGACGAGTCAGTCAGATATCTCAAGGTCGAACAGCTCTTCAGACTTGGTGTGACCTCACGTGCGCATTGTGAGAGTTTACTCAAAGCACTGAATTGGAATTTGGAACTGGCAAGTTCTGTAATGTTAGATGAACTGAAGTCGGCGGTATCCATGGAATCTACAGTATGATTTAAAGTATTTGTTAATTCTGTTTTTATGTGATTTTGTTGACTACTGTTGAGCCTCTTTGATCAAGCCACTGTTAATTAATCTGGTTAGCATACTATCCAGCCAGTGGCTCAGAGATAGGTTTTGCTCTTACCTCAGGCAGGTTTATCAACACTTTTCCTGGTGTTAGATCTCACCCGGCGGTTGAGATGGGGATTCCCCCAGTCAAAACAACACGACACATTGACATTGCATTGACATCATATCAACAGTGTATTGGCCTAGTTATGTCAACATTGCATTCATGAAATGGCCAACAGGTTAACAGAAAAAATCATTTCTCACATTGGGATGAAATGGGGGAAATGTCTTAAATTGCAAAACACTCTGAAAACTTCAAGTAACAAAGAAATCTTTCTCTTTGGGTTGAGATTCCCCTATGTCATCCTCAAATATATATAGGTAAAAGATTCTATTTCTCTATCTTCAAATTGTCCAAGTGATCTAACCATTTTACAATTGAGATGGGGAAAATAAGTCAATGTGGCAGGATTAAAGAGGCTCAATCGCACAATAACATACCTGTATACATCACACATATTTACTCCTCATTAAAAAAGTTTTATTTTGGCATTATTTTCTTGTCGATCAATATTTATATATAATGTAATAGTGAGCTAGTGATAAGCATAGTTATATACTCTAATCTTCCAGAAACAGAAATCATTATATTTAATCAAACACAACACTTTAATCATCCCTTCAGATTTTACCTATTGTTACCGACTGTTGTCTTTTTCACATCATTGTACTGCATAAGTTGTATTCATGTTGCATTTAGAAATCATGTTACTGCAGACAAAGTAGAATGTTTGTTGAGAAAGATTGTATATTGGAAAGAAAGTTTATTAATCGATATGATAAACAGGGGAATAATGAAGTAAAATGTTTCAAAAGATTATTATAAAGGTCACGTAATTAACTGTTACTTATATGTGTATCACAAAGCTTCACTAGTTATGGAAAGTATAACAGCAGTTAGTGGATAACTTCACTATTTTTTGTGTTTAATTGTATATTACCTGGTGAATGTTTCATTTTTATCCAAGACTGGAATATTTTATAAAAATATCTTGTTGACTCAGTAAAGATGAAAGTTTTTTTTTTGCATTGTGGAAATGTTCTTATTGACATTGTGTTAAGACACGTTGATGAAAATAATACCATTTATTTGTACCATAAATGTAGGAGTGTGAAAAACTTTCTACAGCCAGAAAATGTCCACTTTTCCTGCAGCAGATTAAATTTAGCACTCATGTATCCCTTTAACAGCATCACTGTAAAACTGCTGAATATCACTTCAGTGACTTGAGTATTGGTCGACATGATTGATCTTATGATTTATAAGAAATCTGGTACGAACCAAGAAACAGATAACAGATCAGCATTCGGCATTACAATCTTTTAATGCAATAATAATTATTCATGCTCACAGCAGGTAATTACCGGGACCCAAGATGTATACATTCGTCTTCCTAAAGGATTGAAATTTTATCTACTTTCATCAAACGGAACTGATTCACAATTGATACACATTTATAAGCAGATAAAAGAAATTTGTAACCAAGTAAAATGTGTGTTTCTAATGAAAAAAAGTTAACCATGAGGATTTTAATTCAGATAAGATGTAACATTTTAAAGTGTAAAGTCTGGCAATTCTGGTCGAACGAATCAAACCATTCAGATTGAGATAAACGAAATGGCCCATGCAACAAGAAGAAGGGAGATAACTCTGTCATCCTTTTTCTGATCAGGTTTTTTAACATGCATGATACAATATTGTGCCATGTGGACGAAATGCAATTATTTCTTAAGGTTTTACTTATTAACATGTGAATATTACTTCTCAATTTTTTTACTACATCATATATTAATTTTTAAAGCTACACAGTATCATGTTATTGTGTACAGTAGTACCTAATAATGGTCGTCTGGGGATAGAAATTAAACCACCCGACAGCTGGTAGTTCATCAAAATCAAACTTTAAAATGTTTTTGAGTTTCTGTTCTTGTGAATCTATTTGAAAGTTATTGTGATTTTCAAAAGTGGTGAAATGTTAAAAACTTGTCAATATATATACTGCTATTTAATGTAAAAATTTGCATAGTTTCATGTTAAGCGTCATTGACGAATTGAAGTACATGTACTATGCTAAAAAATATTTTAAGTATATATATACTTGCAAACTTATGTCCTGTCAAATATCTTTGGAAATATTGGCTCATACAATTAAGTGAACATGAAATAAAATTACTGGTAATCTATCAATGTATTAGTGAGCTGTTTTTTCAAAATTCCATAAATTAATGATAATCATATTTTTTGTGATCTTCAGTACCAGGTCACCTACATATCGTGTTTATTTCTTACTCGATTTAATCAATCAAATTTACTGCAAATTTTTTATTATTGTTGTTTTGTTTTCATTATTTCTGCAAAAATTAGATCAAGTTAAAACATTTGTACAAATTTGAGAAATGCTTTAGACGTTCCTTAAGCTTTGTCGTGATCACATTGCAACTACGGTCTAATTTTAACCGTTTCACAAACATAAAACTGAGAATATGATACCGCCGATTTTTATTTTATGTATAAATCAGTGAAAAATTTCATCTACAAAACCTTTCTATGATATATCTGTGTAAATGAATATTTTAATTAAATGTATTTTTAATTTCTTTTAAATAATCAAAAATGTCGGTGTTGTTTGAATTGTTCCTGTAGATGGTTTTGTTTTATTTATTTTGATTCTGATACTTTGCCTCTGCTAAAGTTGACCCACTCATCCTTTTAAATATCTGTGTCCTGCAATGCACCATCTCATTCCAGATTTTAATTTAATTGATATTTGACCTGAACAAAATGTTTGACCTCACGCTCACTTACTTGTGCAAGAGTGAAAACTGCAATAAAATAGAGAAGGGATAAAGATACCCAGTTAGCAATGTATTTTTCGGTTTAGTAGCTAGGTTGCCAATTATATATGTATTGCGAGTATGTAGTTCACTAGACCCTTACAAGAAAGACTTGGTTTTCTAAATCATTAAGTTTGGAAACCAATATGTCACAATGAAATGAATGTCCTATTGTCAAACTGAAAACACTGTTGGGTGGTGCTGTTACAGTCTCGGCTAATGTGGAAATTGTTTCAACATATCTCCTTCTATCACCCCTCACTTGAGAAAGGTCTGTATTAACCATCATCAGGCATAAACAATATTTTAAAATATGTTAAAATATAAAAACTCAGGAACAGAAAATTGCAAAAAAGTTTTGAAAGAGGTCATTTTTTTTTTATATTGATAGAAATTAATTACTGACAATCTCTTAGAATTTTTTTTACGCGTATCAGTGGTAGAATATTTAGACCTTTAATGCTTTAATAGACTTCAGCATGCATAAAGTGTTTTGTCTGTGATAAATACATTGGGTAGCCTGCAATGGAACATGATATTATTAGAAGAATTTATGTTTGATCACATGATATAAAACAAAGTTACAGTACATGTGATTACAAAATTAAAAAAATAAATAAACAGAAACTGCCCTCTCCATTTGTATCCAAGATATATTTTCGGAGTATAAAACAAATTTAAACATAATCTAAGATGTCATTTAGTGTGAATCAATGATATGTTTGCTTAATGATAATTACTTTAAAGCTCCTATTACAGATTGTATCAGATTAACCGATGATCACTAATGATTGTTATCAATGACTTGTATTTGTAACTTATATATAACAAGGTGTTTTATATATGATAGATCTATATGTAGTGAACTGAATTCAGTCATGTGAAACTTCACCAACTTGAAATGCATAATTTTAATCAATTCAATTTTTGCTTATTACATTGTATTATATATTACCCCAGGGACCTAAGAATTGGCTACAGTTTATGTATGGTGGTTTTGGCCTGTCTTGATGTGTAAGGAATCTTATTAGACATTTTAGGGGTTCAGAGCAACACTCTGAAGATGTCGCTCCATTGATGGTAAATGCATTTTAAACAAGTGTTGATCTAAACCCCAGAAACGTTAAGTACTACTTACCACACATCAGGAAAGGTCAAAACTTGTGTGCTGTAAATAATTCTCAGGTCCCTGTGTGTATTGAAACTTAAAAAAAAAAAGTCTTGGAATTCAGTGTTATGATGATAACTACTGTTATCACCATGCATTTGGTAAATTATGTACACACATATACTCTGTTTGTGTAATCATATAAAAAGAAAATTGAATTTGAATTTTTTTCTCAAAGATTTATGCTACTGTATGATGACATAATGTACCTCCTTTCAAAAATAACTTCCATGCCAAGAATCCTGTGAAATACTTTTTTATGATTTTTTTCTTTCACTTTTGAAATTAACTGTACAGGCAATGGAAAGTTACAAGGGAGATAACTCTAACACATATCATAATTTGTAAGCTGGAGGTATTATATATCCTAAACATGCCATAAGGCTAATGAAGTTTGAACAAGTAGGTGCAACTGTTATGTTAGATGTTGGCCAGTGTTAACTGTGAGCTTTAGTCCGTCCTATAGAATATCAAAAACTTGTTAAAATGTTCGCAATTAATCTGTATGTTATTGTTATACTCACCTGTGATTAAGCCAACCTCCTTGGTTAACCGCTTCTATACGAGAATGGTTACCTGAAAGAAATTTGTCATTAACTGTGAATACAGTTTACAGTTTTCCAGGGAGTAAGTATAGGTCATGTACTCAAGTTAAGTGAATGTTTTCAATGATTATTGTCCTACTGATTCAATTATATACAATCAACCCATGTTCTGATTAGTCAGAATTCTATTTTACGTGTTTACAGTCGGGGGAAATCCACTTCGGATTTTGAGATTTGCAGGTGTTCATGCATATATATCGATAGATCTACTAATGGGGCAGTTAAACCAAGAAGTACATCTGTAAACTCAAAACACAGAAGGATGATTGTATCTACAATCTATATTCCTTTATCATCACACTTTAGGATACTGGCTTTGATCATTAGTTTTGGCTTTTTCCTATTTGTTGAGGGGTTAATCCTGTTTAGATTTCTATATTCTCTGATATTCACAATTTTAAGTAATGTTCAGTAACGTTTCACCGAGTAATTGCAATTGTATTTCCAGTCAGTTTTGACTTATTGTAACATTTTTCCATCTTATTATGCAAATATTTCCACATTACAAATAAAATACCTTTCCACATCAGGAAGCATCAGTTGAACTTATGCCCGATTCAAACAGATTTGGATGACCATGCAATACTTATTGTTATTAAAAACAATAAAGTTATCAAATCAAATTTTGATAGATTTCTGACTTAAAAACTTTTATATTTTAAAGTGACCAATTAAGTTTTTGGTTAACTTTACCAAGACTAAGCAATCAATTAGTTTTCTACTGACTACAAGATTTAACCACGCACATCTACATGTTAACCCTTTCACCCCAAGGTAACTTTAGTACACTCTAGCATGCATTGATCTGGATGAGTCCATTATAGTCTACAGTGGTGAAAGGGTTAAAAGGGTTTTGATCTTTGTGCATTGATGTAAATGCAGTGAATAGACAAGTTAATTTGCTTTATGATCATAAATAATAATCATTGTTAGAATATAACAAATGTTAAATCAAGTATTATTATGTAATCAACAATGTGACACTTTATATATCGAATTTGTGTGAACTTTTTATTTTGAGATTATATGATACATCACATTTGATGCACCATGCAAATTTATCATTAAGGTTGTTCGACATTGTCATATTGTCAGTTGAAACTTTATATATCTTGGCATCAGAAGTTAACAATTGATAACTTCATATTAACCATTGATACCTTGATGCTCATTGTTATCACCTGGCGAAATAATTACATATGTATGTTTGTGGTATCCCAACCAACCCTAGTTTACACACACACACACTCCCACTCTCTGTCTGTCTGTCTCTCTCTCCCCTATTATTTTCAGTGAAGTTACCTGAAACATACATCTTTATTTTTTTGGCCATGACAACATATAATGTCATCACTCGACAACCCTGTCATCACTCGACAACCCTGTCATTACTTAGCAACTGCCATTACTTGATGACTTGTTATTCCTTGACAACCCGATGTCAGCCATTTGAAACTCATTGTTATCCCTTAGCAACCAGATGTTGTCACTTGACAACTTGTCATCTTTTACATATTCATGTCATCCACTCAGTGTTATCTCATTACAACCTGATATCATCTCGACAACTTGTTGTCAGTCATATACAACTAATTGGTAACCCATGACAACTTGTTGTCAGCCATATACAACTAATTGGTATCCCATGACAACTTGTTGTTAGCCATATACAACTAATTGGTAACCCATGACAACTTGTTGTCAGCCATATACAACTGATTGGTACCCCATGACAACTTGTTGTCAACCTTATACAACTAATTGGTACCCCATGACAACTTGTTGTCAACCTTACACAACTAATTGGTATCCCATGACAACTTGTTGTCAACCTTATACAACTATTTGGTACCCCATGACAACTTGTTGTCAGCCTTATACAACTAATTGGTACCCCATGACAACTTGATGTTCTCCTTAATCATTTGTTTGTAGTTGGATGACTATCAGAGTAACAAGACACGTGACAACCATGTATGTTAATGTTGCCTTTTGTTCCTTGATAGTGTGGAACCAGAAAAGGGAGACAACTCTTCACTGTGTATTGTTATGTGTTGCTTCACCCTGCGCCTTATAATTTGTATCACAGAGAGGAAAGATATATTGGAATCATGTTTATGTTATGAGCTACGAGAGTAAATTTATTTCACCGCCGGAGCGTGTGTCATGTTGCTGATATTTTGTGTACCTGTTGCCATATTGACTTTCCTCTTGTTATAGCTACGACGTTGTATGAACCCCAAGTCAGTCAAACAAATAAATATCTAAAAATGACTTTCTCTTCGTTATTTCTTAGCTTGCATGGTTCACCTGGTTACGTTATTACAAGAACAAATATAGGATAAAAGTAAAAAGAAGAGTAACAACTCCTGAAGCTTGGTCAGGTAACCAATCATAGAATGATACTGGCGTCACCATAACTATCCAATTAACGGGAAATATCATTACGTAACATACATGTCCCCAATGTTAGTTAGTATAAATATAAATATCTATACATATTTCATGATTTGGGTGTTTTTTGGGTAAATTGTGCTGCCGCCCACATTGTGCCCAACGACTGACATGTTGGCAACCAGGATAAAATATATGCTTTGTTGAAACCAAGCTTCAGAAGATACCACTATTCCTTAAACTTTTATTTAGAATTATTCTATGGTCGAGGAAAACTCGAGTTCCTTGAGAAAAACCATCGGTACCTGGCGAATGCTACACAAAGTTATCTAACCCGCGACCAAGTGGTGGAGAGCTAGTGATTGTAGACGGTCAGACGGTCAGACGGCCACCGCGGGCCATTATAACATTAACCTTAGCTGACTTTCCACTTCAGGTTCAGATTATTGTATTCCTTGTGTATGACACATCAGGGAGTAAACATAAATGACATATAAATAGTACAGTATATTACAAATTAACAATGATAACTAGAGAAGTATGTGGTCCAAAAGCCATGAAATGTAGACTGGTAATTACCAGTTCTAGGGCAGGTGGAGATTACTTAAGAAAGTACCCAGTTAAGCAGTGGCGGATCCAGAGGGTTTTTTGGGGCTTCAGGAACACCCACATGGAACCCCCCCCNATAGACCATGCTGCTGAATGCTTAGTTGTGACGAAATGAACAGTTTCTTTAGTAGAGTTAATAGTCCTTTATAATGTGTACCGTGAATAGACTTTACAATTCTAATACCACGTGCAATTCCGCAGAAACTGTAACTGATCGTGTAGTGTAATATTACCGTTGTAAACTTGCTGCAATAGTGTAAGGTAAGTTCCGAGTACAGTCGGTTGTCCATCAAAGACATAACATTCATATACATGTACCTCTTCTAAGCCTTTGATAATGTGCTTCGCGAAAAAGACTTTGAACAATTCTAATATCGTGTGAAATTTGGCAGAAACTGGTAACTTATAGTATCGTCCCTGGAACCGTTTTGTAGAATGAGTGATATTAGAGTTCAGCTAAATCCAATTTAATGAAAGAAATAATTAACCTTACACTAAGTACCCCGTACCGTAGACAACCAGAGGAACATAGACTTCTCGGGACTGATCATGATGAGCCATATATAGAGATGTAACCACGGTATGGGCTCTGTAGGGACTTTGTCAAGCTCAGAATGCAGTCATAAACATTGTTTGTTCACCTCTCCAAGGAGACGGAGAAGTAGTCATGGTCATTTATGTTACAGGAATTTCCCCCTGAATACAGTGTAACGTTTAAAGACCTTGTGTAAACTCGGATAAACCGTTGGGTTTTTGCCTCCACTCACCTCCTCTCTCTGTATTACGAACTTTATAAGCAGGTCATCCTGAAATAGTTCCTGATGACGTCTGGAAACTAGATTGGAGATTTCGTAAAATTACTCGGCTATGATGCTGTACAAAGTCGACTCTTAAAGCATTTTCGTACATAGAGTCATGACTTTTCGGCAGCTCGAAACTTTATGAAAGTCGAAGTTGCCAACAAGGAGATAGATGCCATAAACATCAGTAATATTCTACTTCAAAAGTCTTTCCAGGCTAACATACCACCGTACTGGCTTCAGATACAAAAGTACCCTAATCATTTCTTACGGTTATCATAAACATATTGCTTCAAAGCTTTTCGATTTCAAACAAACAAGTGGTCCAGCTGGATAAGAAGTATTTGTTGATCTACTATATCAATTGGAATGTAAATTTCACGATACTGGTGGATTCTGTGGAGGACAACGCCAGACCTTGGGCACAACGAGAGCATGCTGAATGGGATAAACTTTCAGAGTGGATTAAATGAATTAGGTGTATCATTCGAAAAAATAAACCAATTAGAAGCTAGATATCCAAAATGAAAACGTTACGAATCTGTATTGCTTGACATCGATGTACAATACGCACTCTACGAAGTGCATGATAGGTACTTAGCTGTGTCTGAAGACGAGGCGTTAATAACTTGGTCCTTATCTACCAACACAATTACATTTCCTGCTAGAAACAAATATCTAGGCTCGCTTAATAATTTAGTGATATTTTCCATTTTTTCTCAATATAAATTAATCGCTAATCACGCTTCTATGTTGAAATTTGCGAATACCAATTAGTGATAAGAATACGGACCTGCTTCGTTTATAAATTGGATTCTGAATAGACACAAGAATCCTTATAAACAACGTTTATTCACTGGCTCAGCTAGTTGCCAAAGCTTTTATCCAAACTTCTTGCTACTATTCGTTTGGTGTCATTAACTGGAGGATAGAGTCGTCGTATTGTGACACGGTATACTCCAAAAGTCGATTTAATGGAAAGTGGATTTTGCAGGAGTCCAAATATTTTCAGACAATCTTGAGCATCCTTTTCTCCATCTTCGCTAGCTAAGGGTTAATCCGGTACGATCTACCTACTCTTAGGTAGATCGTACCGGATCAACCCTTGGCTAGCGAAGATGCCTTTTCTCCAAAACAATGTTTCTTCTATTGCAACATTTGAAGTTTCCATCCTCTACACTGCCATACCTCATGCATTTGTTCTCTGAGTTATTATGAGAACTTTCTTTTCCCAAGAAATTTAACGGCGAATAGCGATATATGGTTGAAATATATGTTGGAGTTTTTGAAATCAAGATACAGGCCAAAAGTGAAATGATTGAGCGTTTGGTTGACAATGCCATTGTTGAGATTCGAGGAGAGATGTATTTCAAGTAGACTTAACAAATTATGCTTCTGCTCTTACGGGGCTGATCAGGACTAACTAGTAATCCATGACAAGTATAACCACACCCCTATACCCATTAAATCGGGCAGGAACACTACAGGATCTTCTACTTCAGTCGATTTTCCCAATCTTTGCAGTTATTTAATACAGAGTGATCAACAGGGATTGCTCACTACTAAACTGTATATGTGTAAGCGTGACGGTTTCGATTGTCCTATCGTGGGCTTTCCTTTTCTTGGTGGTAACATCCCCTCTTTCCCATCCAGACTTAGTCTACAGTGTTTGCATGTAGGTAGTAGTTGATTCTATATTCGGGAGCTTGCTCAGAATATCATGATCTTCTTGTTTGATATCGACTTCAATATGTGACGGATAAGTATATATAAACAACACAGAGATTCTAGAGATATGCATATAAGATAAGTGAAGACCAGCTAATATCCAAGGCAAATTAAGGGTTTCAGTTTGTACAGTAATTTAGACAATTCAGATTTCAAATTGTTTGCCCCTTCTATCTCTGATGATTCATATAGGGATGAATCATCTGTATTATGCAGTGTAGCTTATTTTTTTCATATGCATTGTTGTATAGATCTATTATCAAATAAGGTGTAATCACCTATTTATCTAAATTCCGGTCGATACCGGAAATTAAAATTATCTCGAAAACAAGATATATCACAGGTGTTTAAAATTCTGACTGTAAATTGAGATAAAAATAATACTTTTTTTTATAGTTATACCACGGAATTAGATTAGTTGTTATCTAAGTCCGTGGAAATACCCTTAGTTTTTTTTCTTTATGATTTGTATCTCACTTTACATTCAGAATTTCAAACACCTGTGCTATAACCGAGATGGCTCGGTTGGTGGAGTGTCTTTTTGTAGATTGGAGGGCCCTGGGTTCGAATCCCCGATCCCTCTGGCAGTTGCTTTTCTCTTCCTCCAATTACAAAATTGAATTAGCTAGAAACAAGGTAGAGGTATTTCGCCCTTTATTTACTAATATATTTAGGGTAAACAGAGACGTATCTGGGGTAAATGAAGACCTTACTAAATTGTGCGTTGCTTAACTGCTTTACTATACGACACTTACATTTTTTGTTGACTTGCCTGCATCGATCGATTACAGAAGTAAAATTCACAAAAAAACAACAACATTGCTAGAACAAAAGTTTAGGAGAATAAATGATTTAAAAAGGAAAAATATTAAGTTTGAAAACGCGCCAAAATCATTCGGAACACTTCCGCTCTCGCTAACTTTAATATTCCGAATGACTATTATTTCCGGTTATAAGCAAAACACACAGACGAAATTCGGTAAGACTTGGAACAAACTATCCAATCAATATCTTTTGTTTAAGACTACAATATAGTTTCTGAACATTAAGGTGTCCAGTTTTTACCAGGGCAGTGCATTTTAAAGCCGTTCACGCAATAAGTCAGGGTCAGGAGGCGTGGTAAGGGCGGATGAAGATTCTGTTATTCTCATCTGATTTTGGGACGAAACAAGATGATCACTCCCTTGTAGAACTTGGTTGGAGCAGGAATATTGAAATGCAACACATGACATTTTAATACATGAAATAAGACGTTAATCTATGAATCTATCTACATTTATACTGACAGAGTTGAGCGCATCTGATATTGTGTATATCAATCAATTTAATACACTGTTGCTAAAGGTTTGAAAGTGAAGAGGGGGTATATGTGGGGGTCTAGAGCTCTGATGGTTAGTGTTTGTACTAGTCGTCTATCAACAGTACAATGTCGCCAAACAGTGCAAGTATATACAGGAAAAACGTCTTAGGTGTCTTGGCTTAATTCACTTGAACTTCACATTTTTTGTCAGTATTTTGGGTCAAATTGACATGAGAAATCTTAAAGTAAAATTTTCGTGTCAGTTTCAGGTCATATGGGCGAACAAAAATTTCTTGTAAATTTGGGTAAAATGTTTATGTCAATTTCAGGTCAAAATGTGAAATTAGCCTGCTTTGGCATGAAAAAAAATCAAAGCAAACAGCAAAGTGTTCATCATTTAAATTGTTAAAAACATTGAGGAATTTATATGTTCCTGAAGGAACCTAACAAATAACCATAACTTCAACCCCCCC